ACCTTCTGCTTAATCTTGAAAATGTATTTTTACCTGATCTAACCTATAAAAGTTACTTATATATTAAATACCATTTTTAAATCAGTTGATTTAGAAGTTATCACAAGAAGCACTGTTTTGCACTTTTTTACAGTGCATGTTTATTAACTCTAGACAGGGAGTGTTCAAGAAACCCTTCTCTCTCTCTCTCTCTCTCTCTCTCTCTCTCAGTGTTAATGGTTTGTTATTAGCGAGAATTGGACCTTAAAATAAAGTGTGACTGAAATAAATGTTCTTTAGTGTAGTTGATGGTTCCATTAAGAGTCGTTAACATCCATGGAATCTTTCCACTGCACAAAAGGTTCTTTATAGAAGTTTCTGAGAACTGATCACTGATTCTTCTATGGCATCGCTGGAAAAAAAAAAAAAAACTTTTGGAAACTTTATTTTAATAGCGTGCATCTAGTGCCTCCAGTGGCCCTGAAATGACACACTTCACCTTTCATGTGGAGTTGGAAATAAGTTCTTCTGACAGTGCACTTGTTCCTGTGAGGATGTGGTGCAGTTCCAATTAATATTAAAAATGGCATGAGACATAACGGACCTAATATTGATAAAATTACGCTCCTCTTTTGGATGACAGGGGTTTGCGAAATGTGTCCAATGGTGCCAGACTATCCGGAAAGCATTGATTGAATTAAATCCTGCTCGAAGTCCATACACACCCGACCGCATAAGATACAGAAAGTCCACTGCTCAGACTATGACAGCGGTATTATTTACCTGAAATTAGGTGCATGGGCTCAGGACCAAGGTGGTGTAATAATACTTGGAGGAAGTATATATATTCTGTTAGTTTTCTTTTTTTTTGAAAGAAGGTGTGTGTGTGTGTGTGTGTGTGTGTGTGTGTGTGTGTGTTTATGTGTGTGTGCTTGCAAAAAGTAAAATGACTTAAGATATTAAGTCTTGTTTTCTGAAAAATGAATCAAAATTTTGTTAATTTTTGCTTGAAACAAGGCGAAATATACACCAATGGGGTAAGAAAAATAATCTTGACTCAAAGGGAAAACAAAATAATTTTTCTTGCCCCATTGGCAGACATTTTTTTTTAGTTCTTTTAAGCGAAAACTAACACAATTTTGATATATTTTTCAGAAAACAAGACTTAATATCATTTTACATATGATATAATTTTATATCATTTTACATATCATTTAAAGTAATTTTACTTTTTGCAAGCACATAGATCTAGATTCAAGAATGTTTAGATATTTGTGCTGGAAAACAAGGCAAAAATACTATGAAAATATTTTTTGTAACGAAGGCTGCATTTATTTGATACAGTAAAATACAGTAAAAATTTGAAATATTATTACAATTTAAAATAATGTTTTCTATGTGAATATATTGTAAAATGTAATTGATTGCTGTGATCAAAGCTGAATTTTCAGCATCATTACTCTTATTATCAATGTTGAAAACGGTTGTAGTTTTATAAAAAGTACGTTATATACGTTAAATTGCATGGTTTGTAGTTCTGATATTTGACTGGACAATGATAGACAGGTTAGGTCAACTGATGATGATGGAACATCATTAATAACCTGTCACTCAATAAAACCTAATTGCCCTTTGTTTTTTCTAACCTAATTTAGCTTTCGATTAGCTTAATGCATTTGACATCTCTTACTAAAGAGGTTTTGTGAGGGGTTTAATTCATATATTCATATTATTCATCATATTAATGCTAATCATTGTTAATGTGGGTGGCAAAAACATCTTCAAACAGTGTGAGGTACAGTCTTAACAAATTAATTCTGTCTGACATGAATAGCATGCACTGAATGAATGAAGTCAAGCTGTCGCATCCCAGAAGCGCCGGAGCAAACGCAACAACCAGCGTTCGCAGCGCATGCTTAAATATAGTATCAGCCGTTCAGTCAGTGATTACAGCTAGAGATGAGAAAAAGTGTCTCAGGCAACTCATCTGTTAAATCAGTGAGCAGATCACGGAAACACAGGCCCTCCTCTGGCTTTGGCTGCAGTGTAATCAGGGATTTAGAGCTCCTAATTGCTCCTTTGGAGTCATTGTGCTGGATAAATGAATTAGATTTTTAATCCTTCATGCCAGCAGGCCATATTCATCTGATCCTTCTGTGTTTATGCCACAAAGTGACAGGAAAAACACACCTAAACCAAAGTCTGAAGAACATTTAGAGATATTACTCCTTATTTCCTTATTATTCCTTGAATCAACAATGAACTGATTTCTCAAACTGAGTAATATTATAGTCTTTTTAGTGTGTGTGTGTGTGTGTTTATGTGTGTGTGCTTGCAAAAAGTAAAATGACTTAAGATATTAAGTCTTGTTTTCTGAAAAATGAATCAAAATTTTGTTAATTTTTGCTTGAAACAAGGCGAAATATACACCAATGGGGTAAGAAAAATAATCTTGACTCAAAGGGAAAACAAAATAATTTTTCTTGCCCCATTGGCAGACATTTTTTTTTAGTTCTTTTAAGCGAAAACTAACACAATTTTGATATATTTTTCAGAAAACAAGACTTAATATCATTTTACATATGATATAATTTTATATCATTTTACATATCATTTAAAGTAATTTTACTTTTTGCAAGCACATAGATCTAGATTCAAGAATGTTTAGATATTTGTGCTGGAAAACAAGGCAAAAATACTATGAAAATATTTTTTGTAACGAAGGCTGCATTTATTTGATACAGTAAAATACAGTAAAAATTTGAAATATTATTACAATTTAAAATAATGTTTTCTATGTGAATATATTGTAAAATGTAATTGATTGCTGTGATCAAAGCTGAATTTTCAGCATCATTACTCTTATTATCAATGTTGAAAACGGTTGTAGTTTTATAAAAAGTACGTTATATACGTTAAATTGCATGGTTTGTAGTTCTGATATTTGACTGGACAATGATAGACAGGTTAGGTCAACTGATGATGATGGAACATCATTAATAACCTGTCACTCAATAAAACCTAATTGCCCTTTGTTTTTTCTAACCTAATTTAGCTTTCGATTAGCTTAATGCATTTGACATCTCTTACTAAAGAGGTTTTGTGAGGGGTTTAATTCATATATTCATATTATTCATCATATTAATGCTAATCATTGTTAATGTGGGTGGCAAAAACATCTTCAAACAGTGTGAGGTACAGTCTTAACAAATTAATTCTGTCTGACATGAATAGCATGCACTGAATGAATGAAGTCAAGCTGTCGCATCCCAGAAGCGCCGGAGCAAACGCAACAACCAGCGTTCGCAGCGCATGCTTAAATATAGTATCAGCCGTTCAGTCAGTGATTACAGCTAGAGATGAGAAAAAGTGTCTCAGGCAACTCATCTGTTAAATCAGTGAGCAGATCACGGAAACACAGGCCCTCCTCTGGCTTTGGCTGCAGTGTAATCAGGGATTTAGAGCTCCTAATTGCTCCTTTGGAGTCATTGTGCTGGATAAATGAATTAGATTTTTAATCCTTCATGCCAGCAGGCCATATTCATCTGATCCTTCTGTGTTTATGCCACAAAGTGACAGGAAAAACACACCTAAACCAAAGTCTGAAGAACATTTAGAGATATTACTCATTTCCTTATTATTCCTTGAATCAACAATGAACTGATTTCTGAAACTGAGTAATATTATAGTCTTTTTAGAGCTGCTTCACAGCAGAATTGACTTCTGTTCGCATCATTGAATCTTTTTTTTTTCTTGTTTATTATTACTGTGAAGCTGCTTTGAAACCATCTGTATTGTATAAAGCGCTATAGAAATAAAGGTGACTTGAGTTTTTCTCAAAGCCACAAAAATGCATTTATTTAGATCTCAACAAGACTGAAGGCTGGGGGGAAAACAACACTGGTCCCATATTACTGGGAAAGAAATGTACAGTGTATTTGGATAGTTGGCACTTTTTATTTTCCTTTAAATTGTTGTTATTGGACATGTATTGCACATCCTCATTAACCCTGTGTTTATATAACAGTTTTATATTTATCTTTGCCATCATCTAATATTCACTTAAAGTTAATATTTACAAACACTAATCATTTCATAATATTATAATCTTAATCCATTTTTCATACTGGGCATCTCTAAATACTGTTATGATGAGTAAACTCACTTGTCATTTTATTTGTGTGGTCTATTTAGACTTTGTTAGACAAAACAGTGTAGTGTTTTAATATCAGTTTTAATACCATTTATCATCCATAACATAAAAATAAGTATCGCCTTGCCTGTATTGGTTCAGGATTGTATCTTAGGCCTTATAAATAGACACAATTTCCTTGAAGGTTTTTTAAACACCATTTTGGCTTTGCTATTACATTTTTTAATTAGTCCAGCAGTGTGGATTTTTAAAGGAAAAAATATTCAGTGTTAGACACTCAATTAAGGTAATAAATAAATACAATATATATATATATTCATGGATAGTAATTATGCTGGTTAACACAGGTTCAGAAGTCATGTAGCATGCTATCTTGTCTTATTGTTTTATTAAAGAGCATAAAGTTCTTGAAACTTCTAGAATCACTTATAATGCATTCATATAGTGCTAAAATAGAAACGTCGTGTGTCGCCGTCACGGCTGGTTAGGACAAAAACCCTGATTAACATGGAAAAGAGACCTTTTATCGTCGGATGTGCTGTATATATACAACTTTTAATTTATCGCTGAGTGGGTCATAAAAGCCCACGCTGGGAATGGCAAAAAATTATTGTAGTTAATTAATTTCACATATTGACACTCGCTTCAAATATCATGTTGGACAACCTTCAAGTCAAAGGGTTCTAAACTCAATTCCATTTTTGTTCAAACAGTTTAATAAAATGAGTTATGATCCTAGCATAATTTCAGCGCCCTGCTTGGTTGACCAAAGTAAAAGTAAACTGACCCTCAAGGTGATTCTAATGCATCTTTGATGATCGAGGAACGCAAACTGATTATTTCATCACTCTCTCTCTCTGTCACGCAGGTTGTGGGTCAGATCGACAAACTCACATCAGATTTTGACTTCGACCTGGAGCCCGACGACTGGACGGTGGCGACGGCGAGCAGCACATCGAGCAGCGAGCGTGGCTTGGGTGAGGCTTTCAGACTGGACTTCCTCAGCCAAGACATGCTCTCCGACGGCTGGGACTTCTGCAACTTCCTAGAGGCCTCCAACCGGAAAGCACAGCGAGAGGAGACAGACGAGGGCCAGGGGAGGCCGTCATCATCCACCGCCAGCGTCTACTCACAGATGAACGGGGGCCTCCCTATCCCCAACGGGCCCCTAATCATCACCCCGGACTCCTCCAGCGAAGAGGCATCCAGCTCCACGCACAGCCAGAAAACCTCCCGCACATCCGGCACCAGAGAACGCGTCCGCTTCAGCGACAAGATCCTCTACCACGCCTTGTGCTGCGACGACGACGAAGACGAGGAGGACGACGATAAAGGGGACTGCGCGACCCCGGACACAGACAGCGAGCCCAGTCCCCTGGCCTGTTCGCCGGTACCGTCCTCCTCTGAACACCCGCCGGGCCTCTACAACTGCAGGGAGACGGCGTCTGCGGGCCCCTCGCCCGTGAAGGCACCGGTGGTGGGCTCGCACACGCTACCCAGGAAAGGTCTTCTCAACACGGGCTGCCGGAAAAAACTGCTACGGAACAGCAGCACACAGACGGTTTCGGATAAGAGCACTCAGACTGTACTGCCCTACGTCCCCGCCAAACAGAAAAACAAGGACCTCTGAGAGAACAGGCGACTTTACATATACAAAACACCTGCGGACTGAGACAGGATTACAAAGAACTGTATACTATTTAATATTAAATACATAGCTAATAGATAAAAAAAAAAAAAAACAACAACAAATGAATTACTAAATAAATTATATATGGGAAAATTTCAAGACTTGCTCAAGTCATTTTATGACTATTGCACATGTTCAAAATCCCTTCATACATTATGAGAGCTTGGTTTCCTTTGAGCATTATTCCGTTTAGGATTTATTGAGGTCGAGGTCTTTAAAGTGTTCATGTGAAATCTGCTGAAGTTAGGAAAGTCTCAAATGCTGTTTTGACCACAAGACCAACACTACTGATGTTTTATGTTTCTTAAAGAAGTCTCTTCTGCTCATCAAGGCTGTGTTTATTTGCTCAAAAATACAGTACAAACATGTAAAAAAAAAAATGATGTAAAATATTATTAACATTTAAAATAACTGTTTTCTACTGAAATATATTTTAAAATGTAATTTATTCCTGTGAATATTTTTTCTATATTTTTGTTGAAACAATGACACACTACCATTCAAAAGTCAAGTCAAGTCAAGTCAACTTTATTTATATAGCGCTTTTAACAATACAGATTGTGTCAAAGCAACTGAACAGCATTAATTAGGAAAACAGTGTGTCAGTAATGCAAAATGACAATAGTAAACACTCATTTTTCAGTTAAAGACAGTTCATCATTGAATTCAGTGATGTCAACATCCAGCTCAGTTCAGTTTAAATAGTATCTTTGCAATCATTTGCAATCAAAAAGTCTGGGGTAAATAAATAAATAAATAAATACACTTTTTTTTATTCATCAAAGAATCCTAAAATTAAAAATAAATAAAAATATGTATCATGGTTTCCACAAAAATATGAAGCAGCCAGTATTATCTTAGTATCATTGAGATACTATAATATTTAGAATTAATATTATTTTAAAGTTTTAGTAATTCTGTTTTTTTGTTTTTTTATTATTTCATTAGGTTTACACACACACA